TTAAAAAAAAAAAAAAAACACACAAAAAAAAACCCTGCAGTATGACTTTTTATAACTGTTTATTGTTGTTGCTGTTGTCCATTGTTGTCATCTTTCTTTGTTGAAATCAGGTCTCTCTTGTAAATGAGTCCTCGAGTCTCAATGGGATTTACCTGTCTAAATAAAGGTTGATTGATTAAAGGTACACCTTGTTTGTGGATTTTAGGTAAACCATACAGACTAGGTGTGGCCTCCCTTGGGTACAGTCAATAGCTTTGTCCTGTTCCAAAATTGTCAGGCAATCAATCAACTTCTTCTTGTAACCACTTCCTGGATCGCTTTTCAGAGGTTCATAAGTGGTTAAGTCACTAAGGAGTGTCATAGCTTTATCATGATAGTCTTTCTGGTTCAAAATCACTGTGCATCGTCCTTTGTCTGCTGGGAGAATGATGATGTTTTTGTCCTTGCTAAGAGTGGTGAGTGCATCCCTCTCCTCTCTACTGATGTTGGAAGGTGGTGGTTTGGCATTGCTGAGGCAGGATGAAACTTTGATTCTGAGCTGTTCTGCTTCACCCTCTTTAATTTTGTTGTTGCGGATGGCTGATTCTGTGGCTGTGATAATCTCCACCAGAGGAATTCTACTTGGTGCAACCGCAAAGTTCAGTCCCCTGGCAAGAATCTCTGTCTCCGGCTGGGTGAGCTGTCTGTCAGATAAATTCTTCACCCATTTTTCTGTCTCCCTGGCATGTAATTGTCTACTCGAGTGTCGTCTTACACTGAATGTGTTGTTATTGGAATTGTGATGGTGTTTGTTGATGAGTTATTAGTAAGTTAAACTTGTTTTGTTGTCGAGTCTTGGACTTGACATGCTGTGCTAAGCGTGCCTGATCTGTACAGTCCAACACTTGCTGAAGTGTGGTCTGATCTAGACACGTTGTTAGTTTCTGTTTAATGTGCTCTTCTTTGGCCTTCAAGGCCTCAATAGTAAAAATGGTCTGTCTCACCCGTTCATTCAGCAGCTGGGTCTGTGCCTTCTGAAGGATCTTGCTTGCCCGGTGCCCGCTGACCAAAGATTTTAGTTCCAGGCTCTTCGGAATGATGCCACTTTGTCGACATCTGAGGTTGAATCGCAAGTGGTTCCTGTAGTCTGCCCTTTTCCTTGCTGTTTTCTCAAACTCTCTTACTAGTTTGAGGCAATCCTGGCCAAAGTGGTTCAAAATATCCTGATGTATGCTCAATAATCCAGGTAGAAAAATACAAAAAAGTTCATTCTGGTCCTCTGGACATTCAAAAAAAACAAAACAAAACAAAAAATTGTAGATGCGTTTCGTCTTTCATCCGAAAGACTTCCTCAGTCTGAGGTGCTGTATTTGGCTCAGTCTTATACATTTTTTTTAATAGATTTTTCTACCTGGATTATTGTGCATGCATCAGGATATTTACTTAAGATCATTTTTACTCCACTGAAACCCATTTTGGCATGGAGAGATTCTGCAAATGTCCCACATACAGGCCAAAGCAGATACAAAAACTAAACCATCTTGCTTTATAAAAAGTTGCAAACTATTGTGTCTTTGTATGCACATTTCAAAATACTTATGTATTCAAAATATTTTATTCAGATAGAAATTTTTACTTTAACCACACCAAAGGTTGTCCTCCAGATCTTAAAACACATTAAATCACACATTTTATCTTCTGACATTTGCTCAAAAAGCCACAAAAAGTTAAAAATTAAATCAGCAGGTCATGGCACAGAATTGTATTAATGGGCATTTCACATTGAACTGTTGAGCAATTAATACATCCCATAGAGATGTAGCTGCTGATTGCTTCTTGTGAACTCTGTGTAGCGGTGTTTTCATTGGCGAGACCTGCAGACCCCAGCTGTGTGCCATGTGGGCCTTAGAACAAGGTACTCCTGCAGAGGAATTCAGCACTTTGGACAGCACCTATAAAAGCTCCTTATATTCTTTCATTACACTCTCCCAGGCTGAGCCCAACAACTTTGTGGTTAGAAATGTAACTACATCTGTACCAAGGTGCAGGAGGTCAAGCTGTTTAGTAAAAGGTAGAAAAGTGAATCACTTATCAAGATCATGTGCCAGATTTGGATTCAAGGATTTTTATCGTCAGACCAGCTCACATTTGCATGTTTATGGTACAGAATTCAGACTCAGGTCCCAGATCAAGAAGCCAATGAACAAATAAATAAATACAAAATAGTATAAAAATATATACATATACACATGTACACATATATACCCCCACACACGTGTGCGTGTGTGTGGGTGCTTGCAAGCACACGTAAATAAAAAAAGTTAAAAAATGTAAGATGAGGCTGAATTAAGTACAGCTTGAGTTCAGCACTGACAGCTACTCTGAATGCTCCTCCGCCGCCTGCTGGGGGTGGGGAAGTGGGGGGGTGGGGGTGGGGTTGAGGATTGTAACAGACTGGGCAGGATAAGTGGAGTCCTTCATGATGCGGCATGCCTTCCCCCTGCATTGTGATGTGTAGAGGTCTGAGGTGATAGGAAGGCTACTCCCCAGTCGCAGAGAATGCTCTCCACTACACAGTGATAGAAGCTCCTCAGGTCAGAGCTTCCAAGTCCAGCTCTCCACAGCTTCCTTCGTTCACGAACACTCAGAGTCCTCCCCCTGTGTTTTTCCCAACCGATAGTCACGATCTGCTCAGAATAACTGAAGACTGCTGATCTGGAAGGCTGAGTCTGGCATGTTTTTGTTAAGCCAGGTTTCTGTTAAGCAAAGAACAGCACAGTTCTTCATCTCTGTAGAAACACTCATCCTCAGATGTAACAAGTTCACTTTGTTATTCAGTGAGCAGACATTGGCCAGAAAGAGAGTAGGAATCTGTAGTTTTCTAGCTTTTAGCTGGGACAACTCCCCCCCCCCCCCCCCCCCCCCCCCCCCAAAAAAAAAAGCAAACAAAAAAAAACAACACCCTGTTTCCCTTCCTCTTGACTGTTGCTTCTGGCCCTCTGCTGCACCATTCCGCTGTCCTCAGGAGCCGTTGTCCGCCAAGTGCAGATTTCAGAACTCAACCAAACTGTCTCTTATGGCCATCAGCTCGGCTGAGCTGTACCTGAGCCGCGAATCCAGCACTGAACCAGTGCCTAAAACAGCCTCATAGAAATTCAAATAAGGCTTAATCCCGGGAGCATGAGAAGCCGCTACACTTTCTGTGCACCGCCATAGCAACATCCATCAGATGTTGCTATGGATTTTGAGGACTTTTTGTAACAGAAAACTGTTCTGCACTTAAATACTGAAACTAAGGTGACATAGCAAAGGTTTCTTCATCCTAATCTAACAAGGTATTTCCAGTTTCTGGGAATTCCATAGCAGACTGGTTTGAAACACGTCAATGAGGCGCTATTTATAAGACAGATCCTGGTGGTAGACCTCAGACTAATGAAATCTTTCGTATGAAAGACGCAACGTTTCCTCCAAAAAAAAAAAACTGTCCAGATAACAATTGAACTTATTTGTAATTTATTTACCTGGTTGATTGAACATACTAACTCTTTTTCTAACAGCATATTCTTTAAAAAAGTATTATTTTTTTCCTGCAGGCAGTCGAGAAGCAGCATTTACCTATGCAATCACGGCGGCGGGGGTGGCCCATGCCATCACAGCGGCGTGCAGCCAGGGCAACTTGAGCCAGTGTGGCTGCGACCGTGAGAAGCAGGGCTATTATAACCAGGAGCAAGGTTGGAAGTGGGGAGGCTGCTCAGCCGACATCAAGTATGGCATCGAGTTCTCACGCCGCTTTGTGGATGCTCGTGAGATTAAAAAGACTCCTCGTCGCCTGATGAACCTGCATAACAATGAGGCAGGCAGAAAGGTAAAGAGCCTTCTCAGATTTGTGCACATAGTCATTTATTTAGAATGCTTTCACAGGGTAATGTGATACTTAAACAACTTTTCTGCTGCTAAAAAAGATGATGTCTTTACTTGTGTCTGTGCACATCTGTCCATTAGCAAAATATCTATGATCCATGAAGTTTGTCCATGATTCCTGGAAAAACATGAATGATACTTGCAGAAAGTAATAATTAAATGTACTTGTATATTCTCAACTAATTAACTCCTAAAGTCTTGAGTTAAGATGGCCACCACAGCCAACTGAACATAAAAAAATAACACAAAAATGTCTACTGTATATTTCAGTCAAACTGAAATGTAAGGATGTAAAATTTGTTGCGCTGATAGCTGAGACTGAACACCAACACATGTTCAGAGCGCAAACAAATTGCACAAAACAACTTAGCTTTTAGGACCAAACATTGTCAGCCTGTTAACAAAATGTCCACTGTAAACCACTGCATAGATTTTTTTTTTAAACCCATAAGAAGTATTAATTTGTTGTACCTGCACAACCAAATAACTCTTGGAGACAACCCAACTCAAGATGGCCACTACAGCCAACTGGCACTAGAAAACACAAAAATGTCTCAGTCCAATTTCAACTCTTTCGATTTTTTTAAACTTACCAAAAAAAAAAAAAAATGTAACGAGGGCTTAAATAACTCACCTGGAAAAACTGACATTTGTGTTTATGCAGAGGTGGGTGGATGAGCAACAGCAGCTAAACATGACACAATCATTTGAAAAGGGAAGCCCTAGAAGGAACAACAAAAAAGGTTAAATGGAGTCATCTGGACCAATTCAACAATTTGTTGATCCATGTGGACCAATGTTTCATCCCCCATCCGGAGGACTTCCTCAGTCTACAGCCTGCCAACCAGATCTGTCGCATAAGTAGCCTTCATTGCTGTGTTTCAAGCCAACCTCCTGTTGGAATCTCAGAAGCAGGCTTTTAACACGTGCAAACAAAGCACACCCCTCCAAAACAATCAGTCATCATGTATAACAATCGAATATAGGTTGAAACCTTTCTCACTTAAATAAACTGGTCCAGATGACACAATTTAACATTTTTGTTGTTATCTACCTGGATAATTGAGCTTACAACCTTTTTTTTTCTTTGCCCTAAAAGGAAGTTTTTTATTAAAAAATTCTGGCTTTTGCATTATAATTAGTATAATGGCTAGCAGACAAGTCAAAGAGAAAGAAGGAGAGAAAATGCGGGAGAGGAAATTAAAAGAACTGAGGGTGTGAACATTAAACTTATTTGTCTTGTCTGATGGGAAAATGAGGCTCAGCCAGTGGTTGACAGACAGAGGACAATGTTCCCTTCTTTTTTCATTTTCATCCATGTAAAAATGAAGTCAGGAACAGGATATTATTGCAGTTGTCTGCACAATAGCAAAACAAGTCGCTGCCATTTGAATGTGTCTAATCAGTGTGTGAAAGCAGGCTGACAATGCCGGTGTTAATGCAGTGAACTGACAGACGCTGTACTCATGTCAGGGTGCTGTCGTGCTGGACTGGACACCATCTCACTGTGGAGATCAGAAACTCCAACATGTTTAATCTTCACTGTCTCAGAGGAGTGAATACATTTATGAAGCATTTAAATGTGTACAATCTTACTAGAAAAATCTGACAAGAAGTTTGAACTTTATGTTATTTCATGAACACAGATAGGAATGGTCACTAACTCAACTTCTAACCCATAAGCCAGAGTTCGAGTGCAGTAAAGTTTGAACTGAATATGTTGATTCATATGAAGCTCATAATTTATATCTTATATGAGCGTAACAGCACACCTTGGTTTTTTTGTTGTTGTTCTTTTTTTTTCAACTCAACCTTTATTTACACAGGTTAGTCTCATTGAGCCTCGAGGACTCATTTACAAGAGAGACTTGATATTAACAAAAAGTGATGACAACATTAGACAATCCAGAAAGAAAGCATATAAATTGGGAAAAATAAATGTAAGAAAAGGATATTAAAAATCAAAACAAAAACAGCTACAATGTAAAGCGATGTAAAACAATAAAAACAGGAACATGTCTGTGTTGTTTTTTGCCATGAGCTTAACAGATGTTTTGAAGCCACTTAAAGAGTTTAAGGTCGAGAGCTTCAGATCTTTTTGCAAGATATTCCAGGAAACACTCCTATTTGTTTAAAAAAAAAAAAACCTGCAGTATGACTTTTTATAACTGTTTATTGTTGTTGCTGTTGTCCATTGTTGTCATCTTTCTTTGTTGAAATCAGGTCTCTCTTGTAAATGAGTCCTCGAGGCTCAATGGGATTTACCTGTCTAAATAAAGGTTGAATGATTGATTATCTGATTTTCTTCTAAGTACATTTCTAAATTTGTGTGATTTTACTATTATTGTCTTTCCTTGGCGTTTTATTCAGTTTTACATGCTAGTAGAATGTTTGCAGATTATTCTCTGCTCATGTAGCACACATGAAAAGCCCAAGCAACACAAATGTGTCCTGTGTGACAGATGATGTGATGCCACAATATTGTTTGAGGGTACAAATACTGCAGACATAAACTTCCATAATCCATGCTAGTTGAGGCTGCTCGTTACTGATTTACTTTCAAGAAGTGAAATGATGTTAATAAATTACTGTATTTAAAAAACAGAACATTGGGAGTCGTGGCGCAGAGGTTAGAGAAGGTAGGCCTGTGATAAGAAGGTCGCTGGTTCAACACCCCGAACTGACAACGTTCAAATGTGTGTGGGAATGGTAGAGTACCCACACCTGTCTCCATCTGGGCCATTGAGCAAGGCCTTTAACCCCACCATCTGTTCCCCCGGGCACCCTAGATAGCAGCTCTCCGCTCCACACAGAGGGCTGTGGTAGCTCGGTGGTCAACATTTGTATCAAGAAGGGCATCCAGTGTAAAATCAATTGCCATATTTTCGTGCAAGTTGTAGTGGCCCCTGTAGAAGGGAGCAGCTAAAATATAAAGAAAAAACAAAGAAAAGAATAAAACATTAATTTGGTCTTGGGACCTGTCAAGAGTGTATCCCGCCTCCTGCACAGTGACTGCTGGACATGTGCGCCAGCAATTCCTACTACCTGGAAAGGAAGAAGCTTGTAAAGATAATGGATGGATGGATGGATGGATGGATGGATGGATGGATGGATGGATGGGAGTAGGGCAGCAACTGTTTACAGTCATTTTGTGTTGGTTACTCTATCAAATAATCCATGCTATAGTGAAATGATCGAATATACACAATGTGGTGGGGGTAAAATCTATTTAGATGCTCTGATTTGTGAAAGGTTTCAATGACAAAAATGTTTTGTTAATATTAATTAATAACCTAATATTAATGAACACAAAAGGTGCAACTCAGATACTGTATTTATAAGTGCATAGATAGGGATAGTGTATGACATGAACATGAGACACAAAAAAGTTAGCTGAGAAAATAAAATATCTAACTGGAAGTTCATCATTGAAAGAACATTGGCCTTTATGGAGAAAGTTACCAGTGAGCTTTTACCTTTGTCCAGAAATGAGATGTCTGGATATGTATGACTAATCAGGTCTCTCTTGTAAATGAGTCCTCGAGGCTCAATGGGATTTACCTGTATAAATAAAGGTTGATTGATATCACAGCTTTTTGTTTTTACTTTAAGATACTCCAACAGAGGCAGCACAGTGGTACAGTTCGTAGAGATGCTGCCTCTCAGCGAGCAGGTTAACCTGGTTCAAATCCCGGTCGGGGGCCTTTCTGGGTGGAGTTTGCATGTTCTTTCGGTGCATGCATGGGTTTTCTCTGGGTACTCCAGTTCTCTCCCACACACCAAAAACATACGTTAGGCTGATTGGTAACTCTAAATTGTCTCTGGGTGAGAGAGTGAATGATTGCAGTCAGTGAGGTCAATAAACTGTTAAAAGATCTTGACCATAAAAAATCTGCAGGTCCAGATGAACTTCCACCTTATTTCTTAAGGCTGGCCGCTCATATCATCACAGTCCCTGTGACCCACATCTTCAATCTCTCCAT